TTTGTGAACAAAGTACAGGTCGCATTTATGATCCGATTTGGATGAAATTTGGCACAGGTCACTTAATTGGCCCAAGAATATATTTTTTTGGAAAAAATATTTTTTAGATATAGCTCCATATATATTTTCGTCCGATTTTATGTAAATGGTGCACCAATGTCCCTATATACCTTTCGATTTGCACGAAATTTGGCATAGCGTACTGAATTGAGTCTATAATGATGTTTGCTAAGTTTCGTGAAAATCGGTTCCGATTTAGATATAGCTCAGATATATATTTTTTTTGCGTCCGATTTTAGGTAAATTGTGCACCAAAGTCCCTATATATCTTCCCATTTGCACGAAATTTGGCACAGCGTACTGAATTAAGCCTAGAATGATGTGTGGTAAGGTTTGTGAAAATCGGTTCAGATTTAGATATAGCTCCCATATATATTTTCAACCGATTTATGGTAAATGGTTTACCAAGTGCTTAAATGTCTTTTGATTTGCAAGAAATTTTTCACAGTGTACTGAAGTAAGCATACAATAATGTGTGCTAAGTTTCGTGAAAATCGGTTCAGATTTAGATATAGCTCCTATATATATTTTTGTCCGATTTAATGTAAATGGTCCACCAAAGTCCCTATATATCTCTCGATTTGCACGAAATTTGGCACATCATAGTGGAATGAATCTAGCATGGTGTGTGCTAAGTTTTAACAAATCGGTTCAGATTTAGATATAGCTCCCATATACATTTTCGTTCGATTTAATGTAAATGGTCCACCAAAGTCCCTATATATCTTTCGATTTGCACGAAATTTGGCACAGCGTAATGAATTAGGTCTAGAATGATGTGTGTTATGTTTCGTGAAAATCGCTTCAGATTTAGATATAGCTCCCATATATATTTTTGTGCGATTTAAGGGAACCCCCCCCCCCATTCTCGATTTGAATTTTTTAAGATTTTCAATGGGCTGGTAAATCAATACCAATGCTTGTTAAGGTTTATAACTTTGCACATATATAATTGAAGATTTAAAAAAGAAGAAAAATAATTTACAAAAAATGTTTGTTATTGTTTTGTTGTTGTTTTTTGTAATTAAAGAAAAGTCCTTATTTTTGATGGCGGGCATGATAACTCCTCACTGGAACATCGGAATCCGAAAATTCCAACGGTGTTAGAAAGAGTACATGTCTGGCTCTCGTATGAACTAGGATTATTGACTTCGCTCTAAAATTAACAAAATGGTGGACCTTTGAAAAAATATTTTTGGAAAATCGCCGATTTTTGACCAAAAACCAAATTAAAAATAAGGAAGATCTTCACCGATTGGCTTTATCCTAGTTCATACGAGAGCTATACACTCCCAGAGAAACGATGCAAAATTTGGAACCGATTGGATTATTAGTTTTTGAGTTATCGTGCCCGCCATTCGGAAAAAAATGTTTAGAGAAAAACGCGTTTAAAGTTTGAGAAACCCTTTAGCCGTCACTTGATGCTGACACACTAAATCGGATATATCTTCAACAGTTCTTGAGATTTTCACTTGAAATTTTGTAGAGACATTCTTTAATCAGTGTAGATTCGAATTATATCAACAAAAATTTTGACCCCGAGAATGGGGGGGGTCCCAAGGTAAATAGCTTACCAAAGTCTTTTATCTTTCGATTTGCAAGAAATTTGGCACAGCGTAATGAATTAGGTCTAGAATAATGTGTGTTAAGTTTCGTGAAAATCGGTTCAGATTTAGATATAGCTCCCATATATATTTTCGTCCGATTTAAGGTAAATGGTGTATCAAAGTCTCTATATATATTTCGATTTGCGCGAAATTTGGCACAGCGTAATGAATTAGGTCTAGAACGATGTGTGTTAAGTTTTGTAAAAATCGGTTCAGGTTTAGATAAAGCTCTCATATATATGTTCGTCCGATTTAATGTAAATGGTGCACCAAAGTCCCTATATATCTTTCGATTTGCACGAAATTTGGCACAGCGTAATGAATTAGGTCTAGAATGATGTGTGTTAAGTTTCCTGAAAATCGGTTCAGATTTATATATAGCTCCCATATATATTTTCGTCCGATTTTATGTAAATGGTCCACCAAAGTCCCTATACAGGGTTGCCCATATTCGACGGACCCATCTGGCAACGCCATAACTTTTGACAGAGATGTCACATCGCTTAATGACATACCGCGTTTGAAGCGTCAGTCCAAGCAGATTTTTACAATGAACCAATACACGCCACGCGAGCGCTTTGAAATAGTTGAAATTTACATTCAACAGAAGAAGACAATTGTGAAAACTCAACGTGTTTTTAAAACATTAAAAAATGTGAGAAGTGCGCCTTCTAAGAACACCATTAAGCGTTAATACGAAAAATTTTCGACTTGGAAGGGCTCTTTCTAATCCGAAGAGGCCATATAAAAATAATCCGAAGGAGCCAGTGTTGAGAGGTCCCCAAGAACATCCCAAAAACGCCGTTCTCAGCAGTTGGGCATGGCTCGGTCCACTTTACAATGGATTATTCGCATTGATTTGCATTTGTTCCCGTACCAAATTCAATTGACGCAAATAATGTTGCCTGCGGACAAGCCTCGTCGATTGGAATGGGCCCAAAGAGTTATCGAAATGGCCGAAGATGACGAGCAATTTTGGAACAAAATTATCATGTCCGATGAAGCCCATTTCACATTGAATGGGACCGTAAATAAGCAAAATTGCCGTTTTTACGCCACTGAAAATCCTCAGGAGATTCAAGATTTGCCTCACCATGACGAAAAAGTCACAGTTTGGTGCGGCATTGGGCCGTTTTTCTTCCAAAATGAAAATGACCATGCTGTTACCATCAATCAGGAGCGTTATCGCGACATGATGACCAATTTTGTGATGCCAATTATTCGTCGAAAGCGTATGAGGCAGTTCTGGTTTCAACAAGACGCACACACACAAGTCGCATATCTATTTTCAAATTTGTTTCCGGGCCGTTTGATTCGAAAATTGGTGGTTTGGACTGGCCACCGCGTTCGCCCGATTTGACGCCGCCTGACTTCTGTGAAGTCAACGGTTTACGTTAACAAGCCAAGGACCGTAGAAGAGCTCAAGGATTTTCGTGAAGAAATAGCCGCTATTCCGGCCGAAATGTTGGCAAAACAGATCAATACACGCCAATAGAGATATCATATCAAAAATTGATGTAAACATCAACAAAGCATTGCCAGGCGGCCTGTTGATGGATCTTTCGATTTGCACGTTTGGCACAGCATAATGTATTAGAATATACCCAAAATGATGACTAAATGAAAATTTTAGTATCGGTAGAATGACATGTTTATGGATACAATTTCATTTTACTGGTCCTTCCAAAATGCGACATCTGTTAGGATTCGTCTGTTGAATATACCCAAAATGATGAAGGGTATCATGTAGTCGGCCCCGTCCGACTTTACTACTTTCCTTACTGTTTTTTTCTTGAAATACCCTCGTCTAATAGGCCAGTTTTTCAACCACATAAAATTAATGGTTTAAGGTTTTTTTGGTTCTGCCTGTTTACTTCAGATTAATGGACCCTGTCATTAATGTATTTTGCCAAATTAATTTCAGCAATTTAGCTGATCATTAATTAAAATCTGCTAACTAGCAACTAAAGAATCTATAAATCCTATTATCTCTGCCTGTCAATCAGAAATGACATACAACATTGATTATCAGTTTAGTTGGTGATAAACCTATTTTGTGTCAACTACAAAACTTTGTTATGGCTGTCGGTGTCGATATTGGTGATTGTGTATGTGCTGCATGGATGGAAAAAAACGTATAACAGTTTCGATGTCAACAGGAAAAAGAGACAAAAAAATAAAACGAGAAATCTTGAAAAATGTAAACAAACAACGGTGAACTGAATACAAACACCGAGACACAGAAACACAATGACATGCACAAATAAATGAACGAATGAATGAACATACATGGACAGACCTACAGCAATAATACATATATGGATGGATGGATTTGTGACTGGTGTACATGAACTACTCTACTCTCAGGTGCAAATATAAATATAAGTGAGTTAAATAAGGCAGTTACACATGAACAGCATACATTGATATACATACATATATCTACATAAAGATACAAAGAGTGAGTACCATGAGTAGCATGTGTACTTAGATAATATATGTATAGGTATGTGTGTGTATATCGGAGTGTTTAAAACATCAAAAACAACCGTATCAGTTGAGTGTGTGTGTATTTGGGTTTGTGTTTTTTCTTCTTTCTTTCATATATTTTTTGTTTGTTGGTAAAGTTTGTTTTGTACGGGTGAATGTGTTTCAATGTTTCGAGTTTTCTTCATCATTCCGGTGTTGAAGAACACAAAAACAAAAAACAGACTATGAATGATGAAAAATTCAAGAAAAAACTAAATTTGAAATAACTAGGAATTAAAAATGACCGAAAAAATTGAAACACAAGAAAAGGAAAACTTGAAAGAAGACAGTGAAAGAAAAAAATGGAATAAAATAAATTCACGTGTGTAAACATTTCAATATTTACAAACCCCAAAAAAAAAATGGATTGAGATTTAAGATCAAAAACATTCAAAGAATAGTATGAAGAAAAAATTTGAATAGAAAACTTCAAACGCATTCACATGCGAAGAAGGAGAAGAAGTAGTGTGTTAGATTAAAGACAGAAATAGAGAAGAGGACCAGAAAATATATGTTTTTGTAAGAGAATATTTTACTTTTACACAAAACACGTACACAAGCATACATGCATATATTGTCATCGAATATGCACGCATGGATGTGTGTGCATGTGTTGGTTTAATACTTTTTTTTTGTTTTCTAGTTTGAGTTGCGAAAACTCACAACAAAAAGTGAAAATAAACGAAGAACAAAAAAAAACAGAAGAAGTAAGAAATAAACTAAACAAAATAATTAACGAACATCAAGCTCACACAGAAACGCACACACACACAGTTATGTACACAGAACACAGACAAATTTTACCTCTTGTGGTGGTACATCATAAGTACGTGTACGTAAGTCCACACGAGCATATGAATCGATGCACGGCAGAATGAAGAATATACCTAAAGTGTTGTTGTTGTTGGTTGGTTGGTTGGTTGGTATGTTCGTTGGTGTTGTTGTTATTGTTAATGTCGTCGTCGTCATCATCATCAGCGTTGAGTGTTGGTATTTCGATGTGTGTGTGTCATTGTTTATTTGTTGTTTGTGGGCGTGTTTGTTATTATTCACATAGTGTTAATGTGAAGAAGTTTTGTTGTTTTGTCAAAAAGAAATCGATTGATAAAGAAATTGTTCAATATTCAATGTTAATTACAAATGATTTTTGTGTGTTTTATTTTGCTTTGCTTTGCGAGAGTAGATGTAAGCAGTTATAGAGGAAGCTATTTGCAATTAGGAACTATTGTACTTACCCGGTCCCTTGGCTCCACCTTGCATTAAACGTCCCAGTCTAAAGATAACAGCTCTTTCGTATTCTTGTACCACCTGTATAAGCGGAGAAAGAAGGATTATTTTCTGTTTTAAATTATGGCAAATGGGTAATAAAATAAATTATCATATCCATGGAAATCATTGACAACGTAGGTAGATTCGACAACTGATACGAATATTAAAAAATTCAAGGAATAATTATAGTTTGGTTTGTTTGTATTTGAAAACATCTTAGGACGAGATCTCAGATCTCAGTCTGATAAAATCCCTACATATCATTCGATTTGCATGAAATTTGGCATAGAGTACTGAATTAAGTGCAGAATGATTTGTGCCAAGTTTCGTGAAAATAGGCTCAGATTTAGAAATAGGTCCCATATAAATTTTCATCCGATTTATGGTAAATGGCTCTCCAAAGTCCCTATATATCTTTCGATTTCCACGAAATTTGGCACAGAGTACTGAATTAGGCCCAGAATATTATGTGCCAAGTGTGTGGTATTTGAAAACATCTTAGGACGAGATCTCAGATCTCAGTCTGATAAAATATTTATAATGTATAAAGTTTAAATCATATCGGATTTTTCAATAATTTCACATAACAAACGAGGTCCAATATTTGCCAGCCGATAGATAAACAGCTATTAGAAAAGGCTTAGAAAGAAATATTTGACAAAATAGCTTCAAAATTCCAGGATATATTGAAATATGTATATTAAAATATCTTGTGTAAAACCGATATTTCGATGAGGTAATCTTTTTGGTCGAAAATAGTGGCACTTTGAAACAGCACACTAAGTTTTCTCATTGGGCGTTCATTGATTCAATGTTTAATATAAGATAAGTTTTTGCATAGGCTCGACATCATTTGAGGTATTTTAAGGTTTAGGCACATTTTTGCTTGGAGTGGCTTTTTAAGTAATTATTAGAAACTCTTCGAAGTGCGATTTTTTAATTCACGAACCTATCAAAGTTTTTAATGTTGGTTAATTAAAAAAACAGTAAGGAAGGTAGTAAAGTCGGACGGGGCCGACTATATGATACCCTTCACCACTATGGGTATATTAAACAGATGCAACCTAACAGACCTTGGACCATTATTATGACATTGCATGAACTAAAAAATGTGATCCACATCTTGTTCGACTCATTTAAGTGAGATGTGCCAAATTTCGTGCAAATCGAAATATATATAGCGACTTTGGTGCGCCATTTACATAAACTTAGTCGAAACTATATATGGGAGCTATATCTAAATCTTGACCGATTTTCACGAAACTTGGCACACATCATTGTAGACTCAATTAAGTGAGCTGTGCCAAATTTCGTGCAAATCGAAATATATATAGGGACTTTGGTGCGCCATTTACATAAACTTAGTCGAAACTATATAAGGGAGCTATATCTAAATCTGGATCGATTTTCACGAAACTTGGCACACATCGTTCTAGACTCAACTAATTGAGCTGTGCCAAATTTCGTGCAAATCGAAAAATTTATAGGGACTTTGGTGCACCATTTGTCTTAAATCGGACGAAACTATATATGGGAGCTATATCTTAATCTGAACCGATTTTCACGAAACTTGGTACACATCTTTCTAGACTCAATTAAGTGAACTGTGCCAAATTTCGTGCAAATCGAAATATATATAGGGACTTTGGTGTGCCATTGACATAAAATCGGTCGAAACTATATATGGGAGCTATATCTAATTCTGAACCGATTTTTCCCACTTGTGCCAAATTTCATTCAATTCGGATCATAAATGCGACCTGTACTTTGTCTACTATTTAACACCAACAGACGTACGGACGGACATGCATAAATCGACTCAGAAAGTGATTCTATGCCTGTTACAAACATATGTACAAAGACATAATACCCTGTACCACAGTGTGGTGAAGGGTATAAAAATCATGGTTCTATGAATTTTGTCATGGGTCTAGCCAAGGCCTGGATTTTTATTTTTATTCAAGGACATAGTAAACTCGTTTTTAAAGGAATTTTCTAAGGCTAGGATTTTTATACCCTACACAACTATGTTGTTAGGGTATTATAGCTTTGTGCACCCCCAAGAGTTTGTAAAGCCGCGAAATATTGGTCCTAGACCCAATTTTAAGTATACCGATCGTCATATCTCGACTAGCTGAGTCGATCTAAACGTGTATGTCCATCCGTCTGTCCATTATAATTTGTAAACACGACACACGCCACTGTTATGGACCAATCTTTATGAAATTTTGCATGTAGGATGGGTTCTGACCAATGAAGACCTCTATTGTTTTTGATAAAGATCGGTTAATATTTAGGGGACGAAATGGACCAAAATCTTTATTTTTGTCTGACTTTCTGGTCGCTCTAGAGGCCGCAATTATAGGTCGATCAATGGAGATCGAGCTATAATTGCCGCCTCTGGAGCTAATTTTCACATGGAGAAGGGAATAGGGCCATGGAATAAGCATGCCTGTTTTGGTAAAGATTGGTCAATATTTAGCGGGTCAAGTGGGCCTTGACTTTTGTGTTAAAATTTTCAAAATTTGTATTCTATAGCGTATATATTTACCCCTGAAGAATATAGACCAGAGTAGTTAATGGTATATCCAAGAGGAATGTTGACCTTTTAATTGATACCAATTATATTGTCATATGTACTTGGATGTGGGAGTTACACTTAAATATTTACAGTGCCTACGTATTGATATATTATTTAGTAACCCATTATCACACTAGAAGGCTGAAATATAGCGCTGATAGGTTCGAAATTTTCCATGAGGATCCAGGAATGGTCAAGGACCTCGCGTATAATTTTCAGTGATGATCAGATAATAATACTGGGATGAATTGGACGGAAAACTTATTTTTTGTTTTAATTTGAGTCGATCTATAGGCCACAATTGAAAGCCGAAAATCACAACACAACCCACAGTGGAGGGAATCTGACAAGTAATTAGAATATTAGTAATATTTGTTGGCCTCTAGTCGGTCAAGAGGGTGCAAATATTACCAAATTTGGCACAAGCTCAGAATATAGAACCACAGAAAGTTAGATTTTCGTGGAAGTTGTGTAGGGTATCATATGGTCGGTTTAAAATTATTTTTTAAAGAAACTGAATAAACCTATACAATACGGTTTGAAGTGCGACCATGTGTTGTTTACTGTGTCTTGAAAAATTATGGAGATTTTTGTGTTTATTAATTTTCTTTCTCCGTGGGTCAGCATAACTCCAGTAAACAGATGTATTTTGAAATATCCTCACTGTGTGTGACAAAAAAAAGCACTATTCGATTGTGAGCCTGTAAGAAGCACTTCAAAATCTGTATCTTTGGCAAAACATATCATGTGACGCACAACAATTTCTTTACTGAAGCCTTCAGTGAAATTCGAAATACCAAATAGTTCGAGACAATTAGCGGGACATTATTCATAACCCCATATGCCAAATCGTGGACCTTTATTACATATTTTCAACGAAGAAGTTTTCTAGTCACCAATAATCCAGAATGCCAAAAAACAGCCTGGGACAGCTCTTTTGTTGTTTTTTTTCACTCCCCCTTTTGATCTACTCATAAAATTATTGTTTACTGATTTTTTTCTTGAGAAATATTCTTTCGTTTTTTTCCTTTCCAAATTGAATTTTCCAACTGTTGCTTCCATTACTCACAACATTAGAATTTCCACAAACAATACTTACTTTAAAGCAGACAAATAAACTAAAAGGTAGTGTTAGAATCACCAGTGCCACCGACAGGAATATTAATAATGTGCCGCATGTTGAAGATTTATCTCCGACATCCTCTTCCGCTGCAATGAGATGGAGAGAGAGAAAGAGAAAAACAACAACAAAAAAGAAGAAATAGAAAAAATAGAAGAAGATTAAAAGCAATGAATTAGTAAGATAATATACTTATGGGGGAGGGGGTACTTATGGGATATTGCAGAAAATGAAGAAAAAGAAATGAAGATAAATCAAAATTGAAAACAAATAAAAGTTTCATTTCATCGACAGTTATAAATCACAATAAGCTATCGAATAGTTAGCTGCTTATTGGCATTATTATTCCCAGAAGTACACGTAAACACATTGCAGATGATGAATAAATATGTTTGCTATTTATCATCATCGCCTTGAGGTTATCGTGTCGCTCATTCATCTATCTTTCGCACATTTGGCATTTTGTTCCGTTCCCGTTTCGTTAAATTAATGGGAGCTGCAGTTTTTAATGGATGATTGTTTCTGCACTCTGCCCTATGATTTATGAACTTCTAGGGGTTTTGAAAATTATGAATTATTTCACTTTTATTCTCCCCATTCGTGAAAATACATCAAATCGACCTATAGATAGTCTGTAACTCATTCTGTGTGTATGCATTTATTTTGTCTATATCAATCACTTACAGGCACGAGTACGTACGGTATGAATGGTAACACGTCGCGTCTCTCGTCTTCCGTCGTCATCTGCAAATAAACACAAACACACAAACAAACAAAAAAACATACCGTACGGTATGTTTAGAGACGTTAGTCACTCGCAACAGGAGGTATCACTTGTATGTGTGTGTGTTTATGTTTGTATGCATAGGTGAGAGTGTATGCATGTTTATGTTGCTCTTCAGCTGTCTGTTGTTCAGAGCAAATTTGTTTGTGTGTAAGTTTAGTAACAACATAACATAGCAAAAACGAAATGTATAACGACACACACAGATGCACACACAGACGTATAAAATTGAGAAATGTCATCATTGTTGTTTTTGTTGCAATTATTGTTGCTGTTGTTATCACAGTTGTTGTAGTTGTTTAGTATAAGGAAGAAGCGCATCCCTTGGAACATGAAACGAGCATTCTCAAACAAGTTTTATAAAAAAAAATTGTAACAATAAAACGTCACTTGAAAACACTTAACTTAATTGCTTACATACATACATGGGAACATGTGTTGAAAGTTAGTGTAATATTTTTTTATATATTAAGGTGGGTAATATATGGGAAATATGTTTGAATTTAAATAAACAATTTTGTTAAACATTAACAACTACATTTACAATTTAACAAAATATGCATTATTAGTTGTTCACATATGGGTTTGCATTTTCACTGTGTTAACTGGAATGCTATTTTAGAATTCCATTTTAAAAACTATCCCACTCGTGTAATGTTCAGCCTGATGCATTTAGAGAATCTTCTAGGTTGACTAAGCCTAGAAGATTCTCTAAGAGTTGTGACGAATCGGACAACCTAAATATATTTTAAATACACCATACGGTGAAATGAATATTAAATATATTATTCCGATTGCAAACAATCAAAATATATTCACCGATAATCCAATAAAGTATTTGTATTCTTAATTAGAATGAAATTGTTAGCCGATCTGTCCTGCAGTCAGTTAAAATCGCCATTGTGTTCGTCATTTGTATAATTGAATTTTGAAATTTTGCACATATGGTATTTATACGCTTCCCAACACTGTGGTACAGGGTATTATGTCTTTGTGCATATGTTTGTAACACGCAAAAGGAATCGAGATAGACCCATGGTTCCTTTTGAGAATATGCATAGAATCACTTTCTGAGTCGATTTATGCATGACCGTCCGTCTGTCCGCCCGTCCATGTATTTTTGTTAACAAAGTTCAGGTCGCATTTATGATCCGATTTGGATGAAATTTGGCACAGGTCACTTAATTGGCCCATGAACGAAACCTATTGGAGAAAATCGCTTCAGAATTAGATATAGCGCCCATATATATTTTCGTCCGATTTTAGGTAAATAGTGCACCAAAGTCTCTATATATCCTTCGATTTGCACGAAATTTAGCAAAGCGTACTGAATTAAGTCTAGATCGATGTGTGTTAAGTTTCGTGAAAATCGGTTCAGATTTAAGTATAGCTCCCATATATATTTTCGACCGATTTGAAGTAAATGGTGTACCAAAGTCCCGATATATCTTCCGATTTGCACGAAATTTGGCTTAGCGTAATGAATTAGGTCTAGAATGATGTGTGTTAAGTTTCCTGAAAATCGGTCCAAATTTAGATATAGCTCCCATATATATTTTCATCCGATTCTAGGTAAATAGTGCACCAAAGTCCCTATATATCCTTCGAATTTCACGAAATTTTGCATAGCATAAATTAAGTCTAGAAATATTTATGTTAAATTTCGTGTAAATCGATTCCATATATATTTTCGTCAGATTTAAGGTAATTGGTGCACCAAAGTCCCTATATATCCTTCGAATTGCACGAAATTTGGCGTAGCGTACTGAATTTAGTCTATAATAATGTGTGCTATGTTTCATGAAAATAGATTCAGATTTAGATATTGCTCCCATATATATTTTCATCCGATTTTATGTACATGGTGCACCGAAGTCCCTATATATCCTTCGATTTGCACGAAATTTAGCAAACGTACTGAATTAAGTCTAGAACGATGTGTGTTAAATTTCATGAAAATAGGTTCAGATTTAGATATAGCTCCCATATATATTTTCGTCCGATTTTAGATAAATGGCGCACCAAAGTCCCCATATATCCTTCCATTTGCACGAAATTTGGATTTATAAGTAAATGAAGAACTCAAAATGTGGCCGAACATGTGACAAGTTTCGATGAAGTCGGTTTCGATTTCGATATTTGGCTTTAAGGGGACCCGCCCCATTCTCGGGGTCAAAAATTTTTTTGATTTAATTCGAATCTACACTAATTCAAGAATGTCCCCACAAAATTTCAAGTGAAAATCTGAAGAATTCTTGAAGATATAGCCGATTTATTGTGTCAGCATCAAGTGACGGCTGAAGGGCTTCTCAAACTTTAAACGCGTTTTTCTCTTTTGCGAATGGCGGGCACGATAACTCAAAAACTAATAACCCAATCGGTTCCGAATTTTTACACGGTATCTCTGTGAGTGTATAGCTATCGTATGAACTAGGATAAAGGCAATCGGTAAAGATCTCCTTTATTTTTGAACTTAGTTTGTGGTCAAAAATCGGAGATTTTCCAAAAATATTTTTTCAAAAGTCCGCCATTTTGTTAATTTTAGAGCGAAGTCAATAATCCTAGTTCATAGGAGAGCCAGATATGTACTCTTTCTAACACCGTTGGCATTTTCGGATTCCGATTTTCCAGTGACTAAACATTTTAAAATGGCTAAATATTTAAAAAAATAGCCCACAATATTTCCCATATTGTTTGAAAAAAAAAACGCTGAAAATTGTTAAGTGACGCTCCACACATCGAACGTTTGTTAAGATTCTAGAACACCAAAATTAGCTGTCAAGGTGATAAATAAGCACGTTAGTGATTAGACTGTTTGTAGATTTCTAGCAAGAATGTGTCTAGCTCTAACAGTCAAGAAAAAATAAACCAGCCCTATAAAATAAAAACTTAAGCGTCGAAAATGTTGTAAAAAACGGAAAAATTAAAAATCGGACGAATGGAAACATTTGATTTTGTCTGATGAAACTAAAATTAATCGTTTCCAATCAGATGACAAAAAAAAATATTACTGGCGCCGCTCATATGCAGCGATATCAAGGAGATTAAACTGTATGATGGCATGGTGGTTCGTTGTATCGTAGGGTATCATATGGTCGGTTCCGTCCGACTATACTGATCTGTTCAAACCTTAAACATTTATATTAAATATTATTCATTAAAGATTTTGTAAGGGTAAATTTGCCAATACTCGCACACTTCTTTTCGCCACTGTATATTATTGATGAGAATAAAATGGTATATTGATTTTTGAAAATTTTTAAATCGATACTACTCCTAGTATGATTTATATTGAAAATGGGAAGTATCAATAAACGTTTTGGCATGTTATAAATATTGGCCCGTTTTTTTTTTTGGAAATCCTCATATAACGTTACTCCCCATAATTCTGAAGTTTGGCGATTTTTGGCATGTTATTTTTAACTGAATGGGTTGGTTTTTGTTAATCATTGAGTGTTAAATATTCATACCAAAAATTTATCATGACATAATGCGGTATATCTTAAAGGTCCCGATTTATTACAGGTATTTTAAATGTACACCTCATGTTGGAGGATATTAAAAGTTTGGCCCGACAGGCCGACTTAGCAACGTTTTCGGATCTGTTCGTTCGTTTTCAATCTATTGTGCACACAGCTTTCAAATATTCCATTTCAACAAAAATGGATTCGAGGTTTGTATCTGCGTACCAACTACACTACGGTTTCTTAATTTGGATTTGACTCGGAATTTTTGTTTGAAATATATTAATATATTATATGTATTTAAATGGGTCAGACTTTCATATAACTGCCATATATATTTTGGTCGGATTTTATTGAAATGATGTCGCTAATACTCAACGTTTCTCAGATTACAATGACATTTTGCAAGGAGTACTTAGAATGACGAGCTTCAAGTTTTATTCAAATGGGTTTTGTAAATCTGTTCTACAAAATAACAACAACATTTGTTTGAGTCTTCAAATACACAAGCAGAGTTACAAGTCTTCAATATAATGAACGCTCAATTGCCAGTCAGTTGAAAATCATAAAAAAATTGAGATCGAGAATGGAGGCGGCATTTTTTCCGGATGGATTCCGGTATATAAGATTGATCGATTTCATGTAACCGGTATTCCAAAGAACCCATATCTGTCGGATTGACACGAAATTTTGCACGGTTAATAGATTTTAGGCTAGTAGAAGATTTGGAATCGCTCTCATATTCATATATATATATATATAATTATATATATTATTCCAAATTTCCTTGTACCATTCTGTAATGTTTTTAAAAAGGTTTTTGAATACAAAATTATTTAAA